TAATTTTTAAAGAAAATTGAAAGGATTCAATTTTCTTTAATTAATGCAAGTAAAAATACTTTGGATTTCACCAAAAGAGTTGGATAATCTAAAAAGTTATTTTTACTAAATAAGATTTATTTTAAATAAAAAAAATAATAATGAAATAATAAATAAAAAATAATAACAAAATAACCAAAAAAATTAAAATGTTTAATTAAATTCTTTAGTAGTAATTTAAAATTTTTTTTGAAAGAGTCTCATTTTTCTTAATTATTATCAAGAGAAATGATTTTTTTAAGATTTTGTCATAAATTTAGGATAATTCTAAAATCAATTTGAGAAATGATTTTTTGAATTTTGCTAGAGTGTTGGGATGATCTTAAAATCAATAAGAGAAATGATTTTTGGATTTCATCAAAGAGTTGGGATAATCTTGAAATTAATTTAAAAATTTTTAAGATTTCGTTAAAAAGTTGGATGATCCAAAATTAGTTTAAATTTTTTTTAAAGATTTTATTAAAGAATTGGGATAATCCTAAAATTAGTTTAAGAAATGATTTCTAGATTTCATCAAAAGAGTTGAACTAATTCTAAATCAACTCTAATAAATAAATAAAATATCTTATGATGAAATTTTAAAAATTTTGAGAATTATCAATTTTCTTGAAAATTTTTTGAACAAAGATCTGTTCTATAGATTCTGCTAGAGTGCTAAAGAATTCATAGGAAATGAGAATAATAATAATAATTTCACAAAAAAATGTTTTTCTTAAAGAAATTTTTAAAGGAATCAACTTTAAATATTAAAAAAAAAACATATTATTAAAGTAATTGAAAAACACATATTTAATTGGAATTATTTTTTGATAAAGTGATGTAAGGGGTATTAACACTTTTTCTACTTCTAATCATACTCCAAATCCATTCTTGATTTCGTAGACCAAAACATTTTTTAGTAACTCTCAGTTAATTTTGAGATTTTTTTATTCGAAAATGATCTTTTGGAAGACCAATAACACTCTTACAAAAAAGATTGATGATAATTTTGAAAATTTTCATTAAATCTAGTGCTCGAGTCCTCCGAACAAAAAATTGTTATGATAACACTAATATATAAATTATCAACATTTTATACGATACGAAGACATAAATTATTATATATTTCTTTACTTTAAAAACCATTAATTTCCATTACTTTAAAAACCCTTCATTTCTTTTATTTTTTTCCTTTTCTTTATTAATATTTATTTAAACATATAGTAATTAAGATTATATTTTAAAAATTATATTTATAAATATTTATTAAATTTAGTAAAAATAATATACTAAATGTAAAACTTTTTCTTACGATAATATTTAACTATTTTAGCTTGTGCTTATAAGCATATACGTTCATAATTTGGTCAAACTTTAATTGCTTGCTAATGTAATAGTTTCTAATTTAACGAAATTTCTTTGATTTATATGTTAAAATACTTTTTTTTTACAAAAAAAAAAATGTTACAATTTAAAGATAAAAATAAATTACAAATATTAAAATTTGAATTCTAAATTATTAAATACCACTATTTAAAGATATTTACATGAAATAATTATATTATAATTCGAATACATCCAAGCCATTTTTACTATTTAATTTATTATTGTCACAGTTCAAATTATGACCAACAAATATATTCTTTTCACAAGAAAAAACATAATCTTACATTATTTATATATATATTTATTTCTTTATCAATAAATTTATTAATTTTGTCAACGTAAATAATGTTCATGAGAAATTTTGGAACTGTTCAGTGATAAAATTTTTTAATTCTTCAATGTTTGAAATGTCCATTGGATAATTTAGGAATTATTAAGTGAAAATTTTTCTTCAAATTTTTTATTTTTTAATTTTGAGGTGTCTACGAACACACTAACTCATAAGGGGGATTCGCCATTGCTTTAGGTTGAGAGAGTGTTTTCCAAGCTGTTCCAGTGTTCCTCAACACTTATTCAACATTTCTCAGTTATTTAAAACTTAGAAGACATGCATTAGCTAAAAATTTCTTTTCTGTTATCTGATTTGTATCATCTACATTGCTGGATTTAATGCTTGCTTGGGAATGTAATCACCGGGGTCTGGAAATCAAAGGAAACAAGTAGAGTTGATATCGAGTCAGGTTCGGGGTGGGTTTTGTTTGTCTTAAACTTGATATTATTTGAATTTTTTTTATTTTTTCATACCTGAATTCAATCTCGATCCAATATTATATAAATCGTATTCGATCCGATCCGACTCGAAATTAATAAATATTATTTTTAAAATATAAATATTAAAAATATCATTATATAAATTATAATATAAATAAATAATTAAATAATTAATTAAAAAATAATTTTTTATATAATATCAGATCGGGTTGGGTCGAATTTGCCTAAAATCCGAACCCGATTGTTCATAATCTTATTTAACCCGAAACTAAAAAAAATATCGATCCCGTAAGGTCAAATCGAGTCAAAACCCGTCGGTAATGGGTTAAATTACCAACCTTATAAACAAGTTACTGTAATCAAACCTTCACTTAAACTTTTTTTTTATATAAAAAATTCGTAATATAAAAATATAAAAAAATTATAAATGTTAAGATTTAAAATTTAAATTTATTAAATATTATTTTTTAAAATGATATATGAACTGAATTAACTACCAGTTGAACATAAATTACAGCAAATTGAGATAAAAACATTTATAAAATATTGCATCCACTTGGCATTTGAACTGGGCTTTAGTATTCATAACAAAAGAACTAGCCCCAAGAGAGAAACCGAGTTAAAACTTAGAAGCAAGCCCAACCAAATCTTAATCTACTCTAAATTGGCCAACCAAATCATGAACTATTGACTCACAAATTATATATTAAGGTTTCATTTGAGATTAATTACAATAAATTGAAAATAATAATAATTATTATTATAATTATGATTAAAAATATTTTAATAAAAAATTTATATTAATTTAATTTTATTAAAATTAATATTTAAATTCAACTTAAGGTTGCAATCAAGTTATTCGTGTATTGTTGAATTGTCATATTCTTTCTAGGAGGTTGTCCCTACTTTCCAAGTCTGGAAAGAAAGAAAAAAAGGGTTTTTAGAATTAAGCCCAAATCATGTCCTCCAAAATCAGAACCACCATGCCTTGATTTCTACTAGATAATTAAGGGTAAAGGGATTTTGAATTTCGTCCGATATTATATATTTTTGTTGAATTAGTTCAATTAAATTATTTACGTTGATTTAATAAATTTATTAAAAAATTATTTTTTAATAATTTTTAACAAATTTAAACAATAAAAAAATAAACTTGTTTTTTTTTTTTTTTTTTACCAAATGAGCCAAAATCACTATTTTTCATGTATAGCTCGTTCTCAATCCCAAGCTATGTTAAATGGCAGCCAAACGAATGTTAAGTGCTAAGACCAAAAAATTGGCTATGCTACCTTATTTTGAGTTGGCCTAGTTCAAAAATTGGATCTCTCAAAGGTCACGGGCCTTGTTTTTTTTTTTCAAATTGCATCAGAGCTATTGGTAATAGTTTAGGATATAAAAATCAAGAAAATCAAATTTTGATTTAAAATTGTAATGTGTGATTTGATTTAGGTCAATTTTTTATTCGATTCAAATTAAATTTAAATATTAAATATATATGTTAGTTCAAATAAGATTAGAAGAAAAAAAATTAAACCGAATTAAATTGAATTATATATTTTATTAATTTATATATTTTTTGAATTTTTATAAAATAAAAAAAATAATTTTATATCAAAATTTATTTTAATTTTTATATTAAAATAATATATAAAAAATTTAAAATTTAAAAACCAATAAATCAAATCGAATAAGAAAATTTGAATTGGATTTAAATTATATGAAGGTTCGATTTGAATTTAAATCAAAAATTTAAATTCATAATATTATACAATATTAAAAAAATTAAATCAAATCAAATCAAATTCTAATAGTTATCACCTTTATAATTTAAAAGTTAAAATTTTACAAAATTGATAAATCGAATTGAATAAGAAATTTTTGATTTGGTTCGAATAATATAAAGAGTTGATTTGAATTTACGCCAAAATTTTAAAATTCATAATATTATATAATATTTTAAAAAATCAAATCAAATTCAATTCAAATAGTTATTATTTGTTATAGTTTAGAAGCTAGTATTTTGCAAAATGGTCATGGGAAATTTTCAATTATTTTGCCGAATTCCTTGGTAGGTATAGCATTCTCTTCGCATTTAACAAACCATCAATCCATCGTACATAAGAAGCAATTGCACTTGTTTTGTTTCCATTCTAATTCTCTTTTCTTTTGCATTTTTTTTATGAAATCGACCAACTCTTTACCATATAAATAACATAAGCTCGAGTTGTTATTAATTACGTATTCTATTGATAAAATATTTAACTTTTAATTTTAATTATCAATTTCAAAATATGATTGTCTTAAGTTAAAAAAAAAAAAAACATAATCTCAAGTAAAATTTGAATCATGTGCAAATTATATGACAAAACGACAAAATATTACTATATCAAAATCTTCATTATAATAAAATATATATGGTGACTTCCACGAGAGCTGCATAATTGTTGTAAAGAAAATTTCATGCATAAAACAAGAGGAAATAGAAGAACAATTGAAAAGGAGAGAAAAGAATAGAAAAGAGTGTAATTTGTTTTCTTAGTCATCTAAAACATAAAAGAAAAGGGAGCAAATGGAATGGAAAGAAAAAAAAAAAAGGAGAAAATAGAAGGAAAGAAAGAGAAAGATTTCAAATAAACCTTCAAAAACATGAGCACTTTTTTTTTTAATCCACCACTACATATAACCTCAAAAATCATAGGCGTGACAATCCAAAGTGGGGTGCATTATCATGGTGATTCCAATTTCTCACATCTCCTCCTCCCCACCTTTTGATCTGCCACGTCATTCCCATAAAATCCCCTACACTTTTTTTTTATCTTCCTACTTGAGTCAACACCACATTCATCACTCTTTTCAACCAATAAAATTCCTCCACGTCATCATATTTTTATCCTTTGATTTTCCTCCAATTAAAATTTTCTCCAACTAACCTCTCTACTTCTCTGATTTTATCTACCTTTTGTTTTGGGTTTTCTTTCTCCGGCTTATTTACGGCGAGCCGCGGTGAACGTTTGGAAAACGATGGTACCGGCGGTGGGGAACTCGTCCATTGCACAGCTCCGGCATTTGAGTCCCAGTGGCTCCAAAGCATGTGCCACCCTTGTCCAAACTTCATGGCTATTGCTTGTTGTCGAAACTGAAACTGTTGCTGGTTTGAAAACTTGAACTGCTTTCTTCAGGGTTTCAACAGTGTCATCTTGGTCGTCGTAAATGGACCCCACGCACTCGAAGCTAGCGTAGCTGTAGCCATCTTCAGGGGTGACATGGATTGTTGAGTAACGATCACCATCAATGCCATTCATGGAGTAGCCGCAGGGGTCAAATGCAAAGTCGCAAATGAAGGCGCCAGGGTTGATGTTGTCGATGCCTGTTAGCTCTGTCATTTCTTTGCCAGCTGAGTCCCCTGTTTTGCTATCTCCAGCTTTTTTGAAGAACTTACGTGCTAGATAGCGGTCGAGTTCGGTCATGCAAACTTCGACAGTGAACATAACGTCGGGGGATTTCAAGGCAAATTGTGGCAGGTGAGTTTGGTCACTGGCTGTGAAAACGTGCCATGAATAAGAAGGGAGTTTCGAAGGCAAAACGGAGGCTTTTCTATGGCAAAGATTGTTGGGGAGGTTTTCTTCAATGTAAATGACTTCTTCTTTGAAGTTGGTGTGAGGGAAAGGTTGTGATTTGGGGAAAATGAAGCTGCCCCTCGTGTACCTACACCCGCATATAGTGAGGCCAAGATTGTTTGCAAAATGGATCAATGGACCGATTGATTTGAGGAGTTGGGTGGTTCCACAGGTTTTGATGATGATCTTGGTAGGGTAAACAAACAGACTTGATTCTGATAACACGTAAGCATCAAAGAAATGGTTCCCAACAGCTGATACAACAGTGCATTGGACAGCATGTAAAACTTGCTCGAGTGATTCGAAATCAAGCAGCCTAAGCCCCATATTGTCAATATTCACTGGATCATCTCCAAAGAAATGGAGCTCTAGGCGCTTCTCAAACCCTTCAAACCCTGAAACAGCCATTTCTAAGACCTTGACAAAACAAAACAACAAACACCCAAAGACAGAAACTTGAAAACAGAAACGGGAAACAAGAAAAAAGAGACAGATCTTGTTAATTTATGGATGTTTGAACAACTACAGGTGAGAGAGAGAAGTGGGAGGGATACTAGATTTTATAGGTGGCTTGTGGGGAGAGAGAGAGGAGAGAGAGAGTGGAAGGTGGAAGGGGAGAGAAGGAGAGGGGGGCATGCGGATGAGGCAACCAAGAATCATGATTGCAGCCATAATGAAGTGAATAAGATGATGATTTGTTGTAAAAAATTTCCCTTTTCTTTTCCTTTGTTTTGACAGAAGAAATCTTTCATGATACAAAGGATAAAATGGAACGGTATTTATGCCCACGCGCATGCATTTCAGGTTCTTGTCATGCTCATGCACCCACTCTTGCCACCTCTCCAGTCAGTCCCAATCACCATTCCTCCATTGCTAATGAGCATCAATAAAGCCCCCTAGCTTTTCTCTTTATTTATACTTCTCATATATCATCTTAATATTGTAAGAATAAATTTATAAATGTACGATAGTGATATCAGAAAGTAGTTTTAAGATTATATGAAAAAAATTAAATTGGAACAAATCAAAAGACCACTATTGCATTCTATCTTTAGATGATCTCAAATCTATAATCAAATAGTTTGAATTCGAAGAAGCAACAAGGCATGAAAAAAAAAGCAACGTGTTTCGATTGAATAATTCTCGGTACTAATTTAAGGATGATGCTGTTGGGAGAACTGATTTATATTAGAGGGACCATAGCACAATAATCATAGACATAATCCTTCTTTGCTCATCAACATTTTTGTGAGAGTTATTACGGATTTTGTCTCAAATTTAGTTGATATGCATACGTGTAATTGTACCAACACCCCTACTGTCGGCTTCATTGGTAAGTAAAAACATGATAAATGGAAAATTGAGCTTAACTTAATTCATGTAATCATTTTTACGAGATGATATTTTATCGATTTAAAATTTAAATTTTTTTTAATTTTTAGATTGTAATCTTTTTTAGATTGAGAAAGTTTCTATTGTTCACAGGCAAAACTTTGATTAGCCAACAAACTAGGACTTTAGCATGGGATCATCAAATCATTGAAAACTTTTTGGTATGTTCTTTTTTTAATGGGAAAAAAAATGTCAAAATGGGGGGTTAAAGTCCCGTTGAAAAAGATCAAAATTAAATGCATTCATAAGAGGAATTGTGGTCATGACGATTGGGTCAAAACTTATGGAGAACTACTGTTTCGAAGTCATTCGCATGGGAGTTTTGTAGAACAGCAACATAATCATATGCTGGACCAAATGTTTCAATGAAGGAAAATTAATCATCAGATTTGCAATTAGAAATGACTGGTGATGTTAATTTGCTGTTTATAGATGTTTTCAAGTACCTACTAGGTTTATAATTAAATCTTATAATTTAAAATATATTACGATAACATGAAAAATATATAAAAGTGATAGGATTTGAAATTTTATTATTAATTATATATATGTTTTAAAAAATAAAAAATAATTTTTTATTTTCATATCGACGTAAATTATGATATATAATTTTATATAAAATATCATATAAATATATAAATTTTAATATTTTACATCATATGAATACATAACTTATTCAATAAACAGTGAGATAAAACTGGATTAGAGCATGACATAACATAACAGTAAATTTATTGCACTAAACTAAAATTTCACAAAATTTTGACAGTGATTCACTTATGAACATGTGTTTTAAAATTGAAAATCTTGCAATTTTGAATAAATTCAGCATGACAAACATTTTTTTTTAATTCAAAGATAGGTGTTTTCAGATTTTGTCTTTATTTAATTTTTTTGCTTAAGATAATTTTATGAACACATTTTTTCTAATTTTGATTTTATGATTCAAAATTTTATTTTTGAAATGCTTTTCATAATGATTAAATTCTCATTGACAACGAAAAAAATTCATCTCTTTATCACTTGAATTAACCATTGTAGGTCGATAAAGCATTCGTGGATAAATTTATTTTTTCAAAACCTTGTTGGTGAATTGAATATTTGTTTTTGGATTAAGTAGTTAATGCAGTGAAAAGTTTAGTAGGAAAAGAGATGAGAGCAACTGGGTTAAATGGGAAGCTTTGTCCATCTGAAAGAAGGCATATATGGTGATTAGTAAAAGCTAGACGTGCCAAAATATCATCAATATTATTATAGAGTAAAATAATAATTATGCAGAACCACAAGTTTGCAGAAATTAAAAAAGAAAATACAAAAGGAATCAGGCGTGGCAACTATGTAATGAGAATATCCTTGAATTAGGGGAAGCCCTAAAATCAAAAGCAATCTCATATCATTTTTATTCTCCATGAACCAAAAAAAAAAGAAAATTCCATGAAGTTGAGCATTATATCCTTTTTTTTTTTTTTTTTCATTCCTTAATGCACTCTTCTTAACCATATCCCTAATTAATTTGAACTGAAAATGTTCTTTTTAAACTATAATACTCTAATATCATATTGGAATATTTTAAGGATTTATTATTATATATAAATTGATATTTAATTTTAAATTTATAAAGTATTTTTTATGAGATAAAATTATAAGACCTTTAAATTAAACGGATAATACTTCGTAAGTTGAGTACGAATTTTTATAAATGGTATCAGAGTGATTATCAGTCAAATAAAAGTTAAGTGCTATACTGTAGAGCCACTTCTAGAATCCTGTGGGTGCTAAGCATTATATGGTGAAAGCCACGTCTAGAATTCTCACATATGATGTGATCTTGTAATTTGTGTACATTTTATGTTGGACTTGCCCAACGTTTGGTGTAATTTGATTGATCTGTGTTTTATGTTAAGTTTGAGGAGACATCAAATTTTAATAGAGAGAATTTGTAACACCTCAATCTCACATCAAGATATTTTGAAAATTTGTTATGATATATAAATTGAGATTTAATCTCAAACTTATAAGACATTTTTTGTGAAATAAAATCATAAAATCTTCACGTTAAAATAAAAGATATCTCACAAATTGAGTGCAGATCTCCACTTAAACACAATAATTTTATCACTTTTTTAATAATCATCATTTTCTTATCAAATCTTTCACAACTTTTTTCTGTTAATGCCTCAGTTTGTCATAACATTCTTTTTTTTGGTCTCATACTCTCAATAAAGATTTACATATCACCCATTAAAAAATTTGCTTACAACAAAATTTTAATTTTAATTTTATAAATAAAGTATTTTTATCGACTCAATCAACTTTTATAAGTTGTCTTAACATAATTTGAATTGTGATTATAAAAGTATATTTCCATGTTTTTCTTCAATCCTGGAAATTGCAAGTCATAGTTAGTTTTGAACTGCAGATAATATATATAGTTTCCTGTATGAATTTTAGGTTGCAAGAATAGAAAATTGAACATGTTGTAGTGGTTTTTTTGTAGCTTTAATGAAGATGAACCTAGACTAGCAAATAAACAAGAATTAAAATAATGGAAAATGGAGGTAATTAGTGCTTTGGATATATAGCTTTTAGAAGTAGTTTCCTAATTGACTTAAACTACCTTCCTCATGACATTTTTAGTCTCCTTGGCTTTTAATTTAAGACTTTACACCAAAGACTACAATAATAATTCAACATGATAAGCTCCAAGGAAGCTTCCCTCTACAAGTATAAAGGAGAGATACATGAATAAGCAAAGGTGGAATACAAGAAAAAAAGTACCATCATTATCTCAAAAGCAGCTGGTTAGAATTAGAAATGGTGGAGCATGAATTCACTAGGGATGATACTTCGTTTGGTCTCTAAATTATTGAAATTTTTTTAATGAAGTACCAAAACAAAAAAAAAAAAAAAAATTGAATTAGGTATCTAAATTTCATTTCTATATATTAAGTTGTCCCAATCCTAAATATTGTTAAAATAATATTATTGTAATATTTAAATACTAACTTGGATGATATGTGACTATCATATAATTTGAGACGTGATTGTCATGTATTATTTTTAAAAATAAAATTTTTAAAAAAGAATTTTTTTAATTTTTAAAAAATAACACATAACAATTATATCATTGTTGCATGACAATCACGTGTCATTCACGTCAATATTTAAGTATTACATCAATGTTATTCTAATGATATTAAAAGTTGAAATAATTTAGTATATGAAAATGAAATTTAAAAACTTATTACAAATATTTTTAATTTAGATACCACATTAAATAAATTAAAATAATTAAAATATCAAATAAAATATTATCCCATTTCACTAGCTTGTTTCAAATTGAATATTATATATAATATGGTTAAAGGTATTTTTAAATTTTGCTTTGATTAATTTTTTTAACAACTTTAAGAGTGCACTTTTTTCATCAATCTCTTACATTCAAAATTTTATTTTTGAAATGCGTTTTTCACGATAATAAAATCCTAATTGATAAAAAAAAAAACACATTTGTTTTTATCAACTAGATGATCCTAATTAATTTTAATTTAATATGGAAAATTGCTTTTATCTATTGATGAAAATTACAAAGGAGTACATGAAAACAAAATGAAGAAATGCAAGGGTGGAGAGGCAATAATAATGATGAAAAATGTTTAGTTAAAATTGAAATATGCAGTTTTAAAGGGTGGGAATGATTCAGAATGTATGCGTCATGAATCATCTTATATGGGTGGGCTGGCAGGGCAGCCTCCATTATGACCACAATCCGACATCTTGAGCTGCACGCGCACTCACCAAACTCACACACTATCTATCTCAAGCACACAAAAAGTTCCTCTCCCTCTAACCCTCGACTCAACTCTTCTCTAAATTTTCTCTCTTTTTTTTTTTTTTTTTTTTTTTGGGTCTGTCTCTCTCAACAAAAATGGTCAAACACTTCCAACAATGATACCTATTTATTATTTAAATCAAATCTTGCTTTAAAAGTCCCAACCAAACTCTCAACAAAATCCAACCTTTTACATCAAAAGATGCAACCAAAATCTTCCTTGTTAGGATTTAATTTTACTTTTTAAAAAACTTGGGTAATTTTGGATTACATTTGATGATTTTTGTTTTTGTTTTATGTATATTTTTATTAAATA